GGGGTGAGAGGGAAATACTACCACGAGGACATTTTTTACCTTAATGCAAAGTAAAAAAATGTTCTGCCTTTAGAACAAAAACAATGTAGAGATCACTACCACAACAGTGGTACATACCCAGCGGGAAGCAAATCCAGAGCAGTCCCTGCAGCAGGTGAGTTTGTGTTGCACTGGGATGTGGAATTAGAATTTCTAGTCCCATCAGCTCACATCACCTTCCTACCCCCTAGCTTCTGCTGTACCTCAAAGGCACTGTAATCTCTGACTTGTCAGCTCATGTCATCCACCTCTTCTCTGACTTCTGCTGCTGGTCAGGAAGACTACTTCCAGCATCTAGGGATACACCACTCAGCCCTGCACATGCAACCCCCACCACCATGCCTTTCTGCCAACCACCCTCCTTCCCACACTCACTACTGCAGCTGGCCCCCATCCTACTCCCCCTACATCACATCTGTGCCTGATCACCACCTTTCTCATGTCCGCACCCCATTTGCTATTATACCAATGCTTGTCATGCTATCATTTCTGTCATGATACCAATTAGAGATGAGCGAAGTATTCAAAAATTCGATTCGACTGATTCGGCGAATTCGCGGACAATATTCGATTCGTGTCGAATATATTCGCTGTGAATTTAACTTAAAAAAGGGTGTTTCTAGGCTTCAGAGAGACTTAATATTAGTGCAGAACACTGTACCTTTAATTTAAATGCCCTTGGAGTCTGCTGGGGAAGAGAAATAATACTGTCAGTCAGTATGACATGCAGATGAGTGCCGTCGATCTTAGAATCACCGCACACTTCACTCATTTGGCCAGTCACGGGGCCAAAACCAGTGTTTCAACCTATGACAAAATGGAAACCAGCAGGAGTGTGAGGAGACCTCAAAGTGGCACATGGCAGAGTGGGAGCAATGGGAGGCGGTACAGGGACCCATGTCACACTGTGGACCCAGCAGCAGCGTGACCAGGCGGTACGGAGGCCCATGGCAGATTACAGGCCTGGCAGCAGCAATGGGAGGCCCGTAATCTGCCAGCACCCTATGACAAAATGGAACCCACCAGCAGTGTGAGGAGACCTGAAAGTGGCACATGGCAGAGTGTGGCGATGGAGACAGCAGCAATGGGAGGCCGTACAGGGACCCATGAGAGACTCTGGACCTGGCAGCAGCATGAGGAGGCGGTATAGGGGCCCATGGCAGATTAGGGGCCTGGCAGCAGCTATGGGAGGCCCGTAATCTGCCAGCACCCTATGTCAAAAAATTCAACACACCAGCAGTGTGAGGAGACCTGAAAGTGGCACATGGCAGAGTGTGGCGATGGAGACAGCAGCAATGGGAGGCCGTACAGGGACCCATGACAGACTCTGGACTTGGCAGCAGCATGAGGAGGCGGTATATAGGGGCCCATGGCAGATTAGGGGCCTGGCAGCAGCTATGGGAGGCCCGTAATCTGCCAGCACCCTATGTCAAAAAATTCAAACACACCAGCAGTGTGTGAGGAGACCTGAAAGTGGCACATGGCAGAGTGTGGCGATGGAGACAGCAGCAATGGGAGGCCGTACAGGGACCCATGAGAGACTCTGGACCTGGCAGCAGCATGAGGAGGCGGTATATATAGGGGCCTATGGCAGATTAGGGGCCTGGCAGCAGCTATGGGAGGCCCGAAATCTGCCAGCACCCTATGTCAAAAAATTCAAACACACCAGCAGTGTGAGAGGAGACCTGAAAGTGGCACATGGCAGAGTGTGGCGATGGAGACAGCAGCAATGGGAGGCCGTACAGGGACCCATGACAGACTGCTGGACTTTGGCAGCAGCATGAGGAGGCGGTATAGGGGCCCATGCAGATTAGGGGCCTGGCAGCAGCTATGGGAGGCCCGTAATCTGCCAGCACCCTATGACAAAAAATGGAACACACTCTCCCAGCAGTGTGAGGAGACCTGAAAGTGGCACATGTTTGGGGCATGATTCATGGCGGATTTAGTCAGTTGTGTCAGGAACTGGTGGTTTGAAATCCAGACTAATCCACGCCTGATTCATTTTCACAAACGTGAGTCTCACCACACTTTGGGTGGACAGTCGTGTCCTCCGCGGAGTTGCAATACCCCTCCTGCCGCACTAAACACGCGCTCCGAACTGCCACGCTACTGGCCGGGCATGACAGCCTTTCAAGGGCAAATTTCATCTAGTTGGGCCAAAGGTCAAGTTTCGTTGCCCAGTAGTCAAGGGGATTGTCTACCTCGGTTGGCAGGTGCTGTCCAAGTAGGCCTAAGCCTGTTGTTTGAGGTCCTGCTCCAGGTCCACCTGATGCTGCTGCTGCTACTGCTGCGGCTGGTTATTAGTTTCCTCACTGCGCTGGTGAAGAAAGCTACTCATCATCGACTGCAGACTGAGGCAGCTGCTGCTGGTGGAGCTGCCACTGCTCCTACCACCCCACTCCTCCCCCTGCTGGCCATGCAGCGTAACTTGCGCGGAGCGCACAGGGCCCACAGTGTCCTGAGGATGGACGTTGGCGCAGACGGCAGAGACCAGCTGACTACATAGGTGGTTTTTATTAGTACGTTATTTTGGCCTCCCTCTCAGCAGGTGTGAAAAAGGCCACCATTTTGGAAACGGTAGCGAGGGTCCAACAAGGTGGGACAGCCCAAAAGTCATCCCTCTGTCTGATGGTTATTATTCGGCTGTCGCTACGCCAAGCAAAGCGAGCATGCTATGGGCCATTTGTGCGCAAGGAATTGCGAAGGACTCCCTGCCTCCATCTCCACAGCATACTGCCCACGGTGTCGTCTGGGTCCTCTGTCTCCTCTTCCTCCTCCTCTACCAGATGCTCCTGCTCCTCCACTCCTGTCCGCTGAGTGGAAAAACCACCCATTTCACTCAATAATTCCTGAGCACAAATGTCCTCCTCTACCTCCTCCTCTTCTTCCTGTCCTGCCCCCACAGGGGGTCATGTGGCGTTGAGATCTGTGCGCCACGTCTACCGCACCCTGACATCACCATTATATTAACAGCATTTGTTCCAGGAAGTGCAACAGAGGAATGACGTTCGTTCATCCCATAGTCCTGCCGACTCACGAATAGCGTGGCCTCCTCAAAGGGCCTGAGCAAGCGCAGGTGTCACGCTTGAGCTGCCAATGGTTGACATCTAAGTTACACAGGGAGTACCTTTATCCGCTTTTAACATCAGGGAATCTGTGATGGCCTTTTGCTGTTCGTAAAGGCGGTCTAACATATTAGGGGTTGAATTCCACCTTGTTGCAACGTCACAGCATTGAGGAGTCGGTTACGGGGGCCCAGGACAGCAGATTTACGGGCCTGGCAGCAGCAATGGGAGGCCCGTAATCTGCCAGCACCCTATGTCAAAAAATTCAACACAACCAGCAGTGTGAGGAGACCTGAAAAAGTGGCACATGGCAGAGTGTGGCGATGGAGACAGCAACAATGGGAAGCCGTACAGGGACCCGATGAGAGACTCTGGCCCTGGCAGTGAATGCAGCATGAAGGAAGGCGGTTGGTATATTAGGGGCCTATGGCAGATTAGTGGGCCTGGCAGCAGCTATGGGAGGCCGTAATCTAGCAGCACCCTATGTCAAAAAAAATTTCAACACACCAGCAGTGTGAGGAGACCTGAAAGTGGCACATGGCATGAGAGACTGTGGACCTGGGCAGCAGCATGAGGAGGGCTCAGCGGTATATAGAGGGGCCCATGGGCAGATTAGCGGGCCTGGCAGCTGCTATGGGAGTGTCTCCCGTTTAAATCTGCCAGCACCCTATGTCAGAAAAAATTCAACACACCAGCAGTGTGTGAGTGAGACCTGATGAAGTGGCACATGGCAGAGTGTGGCGATGGAGACAGCAGCAATGGAGAGGCCGTTACAGGGGACCCATGACAGACTCTGGTCCCTGGTCTAGCAGCGATGAGGAGGCGGGTACAGGGGCCCATGGCAGATTAAGGCCTGGCAGCAGCAATGGGATGCCCGTTAATCTGCCAGCACCCTATGACAAAATGGAACCCTGGGCTGGGGCAGGCAGAGAACCGCCGTTATCTTTATCACGGTTTTCCAGGCCACCGAATGGCGACGCTGCATATGCTGACGCAACGCTGTAGTCCCAACATGGGCCCCCTGGCCACACGCTTGACTTTCTGGCCACATAGTCGACATACGGCTGCGTTTACTTCCTCAGGCGGCTTGAACGAAAAATTGCCACTTTGCCGAGTAGGAAACTTTGCCCCCGCTACTCCTCGCTGGCTGACTGCTACTTTCCTCTGTGCACACCGGCACCACTACTGGCTGTGGTGGTAGGCTTCAGTGGAGCTGGTTGCTCTGGCTACTCCGTGGCCGTTTGCCTCCACTGACACTGCTGCGACCCTGCTGCCTACTACTGGCAGCAGCAATGGGAGGCCGTAACAGGGACCCATGACACACACTCTGGACCTGGCAGCAGCATGAAGAGGGCGGTACAGGGGCCCCATGGCAGATTACGGGCCTGGCAGCAGCTATGTGTGCTGAGGCCCGTAATCTGCCAGCACCTATGACAAAAAATTCAACACATCAGCAGTGTGAGGAGACCTGAAAGTGGCACATAGCAGAGTGTGGCGATGGAGACAGCAGCAATGGGAGGCCGTACAGGGACCCATGACAGACTCTGACTTGGCAGGCAGCATGAGGGAGGCGGTATTATAGGGGCCCCATGGCAGATTAGGGGCCTGGCAGCAGCTATGGGAGGCCGTAATCTGCCAGCACCCTATGTCAAAAAATTCAACACAACAGCAGTGTGTGAGGAGACCTGAAAGTGGCACATGGCAGAGTGTGGCGATGGAGACAGCAGCAATGGGAGGCCGTACAGGGACCCCATGAGAGACTCTGGACTTGGCAGCAGCATGAGGAGGCGGGTATATAGGGGCCTATGGCAGATTAGGGGCCCTGGCAGCAGCTATGGGAGGCCCGTAATCTGCCAGCACCCCTATGTCAAAAAATTCAACACACCAGCAGTGTGTGAGGAGACCTGAAAGTGGCACATGGCAGAGTGTGGCGATGGAGACAGCAGCAATGGGAGGCCGTACAGGGACCCATGACAGACTCTGGACCTGGCAGCAGCATGAGGAGGCGGTATATAGGGGCCCATGGCAGATTAGGGGCCTGGCAGCAGCTATGGGAGAGGCCCGTAATCTGCCAGCACCCTATGTCAAAAAATTCACACACACAGCAGTGTGAGGAGACCTGAAAGTGGCACATGTTTGGGGCATGATTCATGGCGGATTTAGTCAGTTGTGTCATGAGAACTGGTGGTTTGAAATCCAGACTAATCCACGGCCTGATTCATTTTCACAAACGTGAGTCTCTCCACACTTTGGGGCCGGACAGTCGTGTCCTCCGCGGAGTTACAATACCTCCTGCTGCGCACTAAACACGTGCTTAACTGCCCGCTACTGCCTGGGCATGGACAGCCTTTCAAGGGCAAATTCAGCTAGTTGGGGCCAAAGGTCAAGTTTCGTTGCCCAGTAGTCAAGGGGACCCATGTCTACCTTGGTTGCAGGCAGGGTGCTGTCCAAGGTAGGCCCAAGCCTGTTGTTTGAGCTCCTGCTCCAGGTCCACCTGATGGGGGCCTGTAATGCTGCTGCGGCTGGTTATTAGTTTCCTAACACTGCGCTGGTGAAGAAAGCTACTCATCATCGACTGCAGACTGAGGCAGCCGCTGCTGGTGGAGCTGCCACTGCTCCTACCACCCCAACCCTCCAGCCCCTGCTGACCATGGCAGCGGAACGCGAGCGCACAGGGGGCCCACCGTGTCTGAGGATGGACATTGGCGCAGAAAGGCATTCAGAGACCAACTGATACATAGGTGGTTTTTATAGTACGTTAGCATTTTTGGCCTCCCTCTCAGCATGAGTGTGAAAAAGGCCACCATTTTTGAACGGTAGCGAGGGTATTCCAACAAGGTGGACAGCCAAAAGTCATCCCAGCTCTGTCTGCTGATGGTAAATTATTCGGCTGTCGCTACGCAAAGCAATTTGTCCAGCATGCTATGCGGCCATTTGTGCCAAGGAATGCGAGGGACCTCATGGCCCTGCCTCAGTGAATGTCTCACACAGCATACTGCCACGGTGCTGTCTGGGTCACTCTGTCTCCTCCTCTCCTCCTCTACTAGATGCTCCTGCTCCTCCACTCCTGTCCCGCTGAGTGGATAAAAACCACCCATTTCACTCAATATTCCTGAGCACAAATGTCCTCCTCCTAACTCCTCCTCTTCTTCCTGTCCTGCCCCGAAGGAGACACAGGGGTCATGTGGCGTTGAGATTCTGTGCGCCACGTCTACCGCACCCTGACCAGCCATTGTTAACAGCATTTGTTCCAGGACGTGCAACAGAGGAATGACGTCGTTCATCCCCCATAGTCCTGCCGACTCACGTATAGCGTGGCCTCCTCAAAGGGCCTGAGCAAGCTGGCATGTGTCACGCATGAGCTGCCAATGGCTGACATCTAAGTTACACAGGGGAGTACCTTTATCCAGCTTGTAACATCAGGAAATCGGTTGATGGCCTTTTCGCTGTTCGAAAAAGGCGGGTCTAACATGTGTAGAGTTTAATTCCACCATGTTGCAAGTCGCAGATCAGGCAGATGCTGTGCAATTCCGTTCTGCCGCTGCAGCGTGTGCAAGGAGGGCAGTGTGCTTTGCGGTGGTAGGAATGGCTGATAAATGCATGCAAAGTTACGTGACATTTTAAGGATGTCTGCAGTGGGATGGTGGATTTTAGGAAACACCGCTTTGACAACCAGATTGAACACAGGTGAGCCATGCATGGCGCATGCACAACCTTACTTGACGCAGAGCAGACACCATGTTCTTTTCCGTTGTCGGTCAACATGGTCCGAGTTTTCAGTTTGCGCGAAGACAGCCATCTGTCGATTTCGGCTCGTCTGTCATTACACTGAGAAGTTCCTCCCCTGTGTGACTACATTCGCCTGGACCTGGCAGCAGCATGAGGAGGCGGTATAGGGGGCCATGGCAGATTAGGGGCCTGGCAGCAGCTATGGGAGGGCCCGTAATCTGCCAGCACCCTATGTCAAAAAATTCAACACACCCAGCAGTGTGTGAGGAGACCTGAAAGTGGCACATGGCAGAGTGTGGCGATGGAGACAGCAGCAATGGGAGGCCGTACAGGGAACCCATGACAGACTCTGGACCTGGCCAGCAGCATGAGGAAGTAGGTATATAGGGGCCTATGGCAGAATTAGGGGCCTGGCAGCAGCTATAGGAGGCCCGTAATCTGCCAGCACCCTATGTCAAAAAAATTCAACACACCAGCAGTGTGTGAGGAGACCTGAAAGTGGCACATGGCAGAGTGTGGCGATGGAGACAGCAGCAATTGGGGGAGGCCGTACAGGGACCCATGACAGTAACTCTGGACCTGGCAGCAGCATGAGGAGGCAGTATAGGGGCCATGGCAGATTAGGGGCCTGGCAGCAGCTATGGGAGGCCCGTAATCTGCCAGCACCCTATGTCAAAAAATTCAAACACACCAGCAGTGTGTGAGGAGATCTGAAAGTGGCACACGGCAGAGTGTGGCGATGGAGACAACCACCGACTGTTTTGCTCGCTGCCAAGCTGCCACCCTCTTCTCCTGATGATGCGGAAGCAATAGCTGATGACGACGAGGCTGCCAAGTGCGATCAGCCTCCTCATCATCAAGTAGGGTCTCCGCCTCACTACTAGCCCCCTCGGCTGCGTGTGGGTCAGGAGACAGACCTGTCTCTACACCGGCTACCGAGCCACTCTCCTCGCCACTACTTCTTCGCCTGGCTGCTGAAGAGGCGGATGTCTCCCCCCGTTCCTGACCGCCCTCTGTTAGCTCTTCCTCACTGTACTGGATGACACCGGGAGCACTAGCCTCTGGCTGCGAATAGTGCTGCCTCGACCCCTTCCTCTGCTGCCACGTCTGCTCGCTCCTAAAACATTGCCTCCTCTGCCACTCCTCTGCATGTTGTCTGACATACTCTTTAATTAAACGATTCTGTGTCCCTGAGTAACAATTCTGTGTCCCTGAGTAACGTTTCTGTGGCCCTAAGTAACAGTTCTGTGGCCCTCAGTAACAATTCTGTGTCTGTCCCTCAGTAACAATTCTGTGTCCCTCAGTAACAATTCTGTGTCCCTCAGTAACAATTCTGTGTCCCTCAGTAACAATTCTGTGTCCCTCAGTAACAATTCTGTGTCCCTCAGTAACAATTCTGTGTCCCTCAGTAACAATTCTGTGTCTGTCCCTCAGTAACAATTCTGTGTCCCTGAGTAACAATTCTGTGGCCCTCAGTAACAATTCTGTGGCCCTCAGTAAGAATTCTGTGTCTGTCCCTGAGTAACGTTTCTGTGGCCCTAAGTAACGGTTCTGTGTCCCTCAGTAACAATTCTGTGTCCCTGAGTAACAATTCTGTGTCTGTCCCTGAGTAACAATTCTGTGGCCCTAAGTAACGGTTCTGTGGCCCTCAGTAACAATTCTGTGGCCCTCAGTAACAATTCTGTGTCCCTCAGTAACAATTCTGTGTCCCTCAGTAACAATTCTGTGTCTGTCCCTGAGTAACAATTCTGTGTCTGTCCCTGAGTAACAATTCTGTGTCTGTCCCTGAGTAACGTTTCTGTGTCCCTAAGTAACGGTTCTGTGGCCCTAAGTAACATTTCTGTGGCCCTCAGTAACAATTCAGTGTCTGTCCCTGAGTAACAATTCAGTGTCTGTCCCTGAGTAACAATTCAGTGTCTGTCCCTGAGTAACAATTCAGTGTCTGTCCCTGAGTAACAATTCAGTGTCTGTCCCTGAGTAACAATTCTGTGTCCCTGAGTAACAATTCTGTGTCCCTGAGTAACAATTCTGTGTCCCTGAGTAACAATTCTGTGTCTGTCCCTCAGTAACAATTCTGTGTCTGTCCCTGAGTAAGAATTCTGTGTCTGTCCCTGAGTAAGAATTCTGTGTCTGTCCCTGAGTAAGAATTCTGTGTCTGTCCCTGAGTAACGTTTCTGTGGCCCTAAGTAACGGTTCTGTGGCCCTCAGTAACAATTCTGTGTCCCTGAGTAACAATTATGTGTCTGTCCCTGAGTAACAATTCTGTGGCCCTAAGTAACAATTCTGTGTCCCTCAGTAACAATTCTGTGTCTGTCCCTGAGTAACAATTCTGTGGCCCTAAGTAATGGTTCTGTGGCCCTCAGTAACAATTCTGTGTCCCTGAGTAACGTTTCTGTGGCCCTAAGTAACGGTTCTGTGGCCCTCAGTAACAATTCTGTGTCCCTGAGTAACAATTCTGTGTCTGTCCCTGAGTAACAATTCTGTGGCCCTAAGTAACGGTTCTGTGGCCCTAAGTAACGGTTCTGTGGCCCTCAGTAACAATTCTGTGTCCCTGAGTAACGTTTCTGTGGCCCTAAGTAACAATTCTGTGTTCTCCCCTGAGTAACAATTCTGTGTCCCTAACTAACGTTTCTGTGGCCCTAAGTAACAGTTCTGTGGCCCTCAGTAACAATTCTGTGTCCCTGAGTAACGTTTCTGTGGCCCTAAGTAACAATTCTGTGTCCCTGAGTAACAATTCTGTGGCCCTAAGTAACGGTTCTGTGGCCCTCAGTAACAATTCTGTGTCCCTGAGTAACAATTCTGTGTCCCTAAGTAACGGTTCTGTGGCCCTCAGTAACAATTCTGTGTCCCTCAGTAACAATTCTGTGTCTGTCCGAGTAACAATTCTGTGGCCCTAACTAACGTTTCTGTGGCCCTAAGTAAACAGTTCTGTGGCCCTCAGTAACAATTCTGTCTGTCCCTGAGTAACAATTCTGTGGCCCTAACTAATGTTTCTGTGGCCCTAAGTAACAGTTCTGTGGCCCTCAGTAACAATTCTGTGTCTGTCCCTGAGTAACAATTCTGTGGCCCTATCTAACGTTTCTGTGGCCCTAACTAACGTTTCTGTGGCCCTAAGTAACAGTTCTGTGGCCCTCAGTAACAATTCTGTGTCTGTCCCTGAGTAACAATTCTGTGGCCCTAACTAACGTTTCTGTGTCCCTAAGTAACAATTCTCTGGCACTCAGTAACAATTCTGTCTGTCCCTGAGTAACAATTCTGTCTGTCCTGAGTAACAATTCTGTGGCCCTAACTAGCGTTTCTTTGGCCCTAAGTAACGATTCTGTGGCCCTCATTAACAATTCTGTGTCCCTGAGTAATGCTTCTCTGTCCCTAAGTAACGTTTCTCTGTCCCCAAGTAACGTTTCTGTGGCCCTAACTCTGTCCCTAATACAGAGCGGTCTGCCTCTCTTGAATGACTGGAGGCAAATGAAGAATTCTAAAATGGCCGCTATTTATAGCTCGACCATTACACAGTGCTGGCTGGCTGCTGATTGGCTAATGCGATCACATGTCATTAAGGAATGCATTATGGATCAGTGCGCCTTGTCTGCGCGCCTTCCCAGACATCCCCGCTCCGTCGCCGCACATGTCCGCCGCCATTTTAGGAAAAATTTCGAAGTAGGCTATTTTTCGGATTCGGCGCAAATCGAAAATTTTCCAATATTCGACTCGAATTCCACTTCGCCTACTTCGATTCGCTCATCTCTAATACCAATGTGCACAGCCTGTTAGCATATAGTCAGAAGGCTTTAGATGTTCTGTAAAGCCAAACTTTGGAAATTAGTGCTAGTGCCAAAAAGATATTCCCCCACAACATTACACCACCACCACCAGCCTGAACAGTTGATACAAGGAAGAATGGATCCATGATTTCATGATTTCATGTTGGTTATGCCAAATTCCGACCCTACCATCTGTATGTCACAGCAACCAGTCTGCACATTCTCCTCTGACCTCTGACATCAACAAGGCATTTTCTCCCACACAACTGTCCCTCAATGATATATTTTTTTTTCTGGACAATCTTCTGTAAATCCTACAGATGATTGTGTATGAAAATCTAAGTAGATCAGCAGTTTTTGAAATACTCAGACCAGCCTGTCTGGCACCAACAACCTTGCCATGTTCAAAGTCACTTAAATCCCCTTTCTTCCCCATTCTGATGCTCGGTTTGAACTTCAGCAAGTTGTCTTCACCACATCTAGCTGCCTAAATGCATTACGTTTCTGCCATGTGATTAGCTGATTAGCAATTTGTGTTACCAAGCAATTGAACAGGTGTACCTAATAAAGTGGCCAGTATGTGTGTGTGTATATATATATATATATATATATATATATATATATATTTAATATTTATTTATTTATTTATTTGGGTTTTTTTTAGGACAAACAAGGCTTTCTTTGGTGATATTGTCTTGCAAAAAATATTTTGTTGTTAGATACATTTAACTGAAATTCTGTTCTGTAATTCAATATGTGTAATAAAATGTAATGTGTTCTAGTTGAATGTGACTAGCAACCACAAGCTATGCCTGGATAAATGAAGAATGCCATAGATACCTTTCAAATCGTCAGCCAAAAATAACAAAATTAACAGCATATTAAAAAATAAAATGGCAACACCAGCTTTTGTTATCTACAATGTGCACATTGAATCCAGAGATTTCCCCCACAGTATTTTATTTCTGCTGATAGATGCACAGTCTGATGACCAGCATCATTCAGCCCACTTCCTTTAAGCTCAGGTCATCCTGGATCCTGTTACCAGACAGTGAAAGGAGAAGCAGCGCAGTGATGAGCTCATCTCTTTCATACTTTGCTTTCTCTTCCTCTGCATTCTTATCTGTACATGAAATGATTGGCTCCTTGTACTTCCCCTTACACTATAGCCCTACTGTACAGGGGACTCCAAGAGACTGATTGCAGGTGAAATAGCCCCAAAAAACTAAAATATTTTGAGTTTCAGTGTGTTGAAATAAAAATATCACAGAATAAAAATTGGTGTAGGATCTTAGTACGATCTCGGCATCAGACAAAGGGGTTTGCATTCACCTTCACAGCAATGTATATTACCTATTATTCTAATTACATTCACCATAAAAGTGCATTTCATATCACAACATGAAGTAATATAGAAATTATATCAGATTTGTGTCATTTATCTTCATATCATCACACAGATCATTCTTCTACTGTTACTATTTATTAAATTATATCTAAAAGCTTTGTGTCTAACATATGAACTGTCAATGTAACATTATAGTTTAATGGTTGTAAGTAGGCATTCTTCATTCTAAATCAGCAGAAATTGGTTTAGGGTCTTAAAATGCAAGTGTTCACAAGTTCCAGATGGTTTCTGTGTCTGACCAATAGAATAGATAAGGAATATTCCGAAGAAATATGACTTAATAGAAGCTTAATATGAAGTGCAGCTCCTTTACCACTCCACTCTTCATCCAAGCTGTCGTTAATAGTTTTACGTAACACACTGTTCAGAGATGCATACTGTTAATCTTATCACTGTTATGTAATAGAAATAAAAGCTATCATT